CCCACCATTTCTCCCTCAACTTCTCTCACACTAGAAATTATAATTTTAATGAAATTCCATCACTGTATAATGAAAAAGGTGTCCGGTGGGAGTTGTGGGAGCCTGAATTTGAATTCCAGGTTTATCACTGCCATTACAGACAAGATTTAAACTGAAGTTCTCTTGTCCAGGACAACCCCCTCCTTTTCCTGAGCATCTTACCCAACTCTCCCTGCTCAGCAGTCACATGGCACAGAAGTAAGAACACGGACTTTAGGGTTTTATGATCCCGGATGGGAGGCCCAGCTCCATCACTTTAAAAACCTTGTGACTTTGGAAAACTCACTTAACCTTCCTGAGCCTCAGTTTCTTTAACAAGCTCAAGGGCTGTTGTAAGTATTTAGTGATACACATTTAAGTGTTTATCACAGAGTCTAAAACATAGCAATCAATGAATTATAAAAATTATTCCCATTGTTACTAGGGGTTTAAGAAATTCTAGTTCAGTAGCTTGGCATCAGGTTAGCCTGATCACCAATCCTTATGCCCACGTCACTTGGTTTCTGTCATATTCCTGACAGCCAAACTCCATTAATTAGGTTCCTGCCTTCCTCCTCTGCAGCTCAGTTGTGTGAAGTCTCTGAGACTCAGTTCCCACATCTGTAAAGTGGGGATGATGAATTCTACCTTGCTTACTTCACAGGCGTATTCTGACTTTCAAAACCCAGTGGTGGGAATATGCAAAAATGTCACATAAGCTATAATATGGTTTGAAATGGAAGAGATTGATATTATTACTGTTATTAGTCTTCCAAAAGGTACCACATGGTCTACGCTGGTCAATGTTGTCCAACAACTTCAATATTTCTCCAACTGGGGTCTGTTAGGCCCTGCATAAATTCTCAGAGATCCGCTAGTTCTCTTCAAGACTTTTAAAAAATATGCCTTTATTCCAATAAATTTCTAATTGTCAATATTAATAATCTGGTCATTTGCTCCATGGCTCTGGTATTCACATTTGCAATCACAATGGCACTGAAGCATTTACTTGTTAGTGCTGTGTTTTCTGAACTGGCTCTGCAGATATATTACAGGGACCACAGGTCCTGCACTTTGAGAAACATTTGTTTGGTCTAAGATTTGCCGCTGTTGGGTCACAAAGATAAGAGCTATAACTCTGGAGGGCTCTGGCTGGCAGATATCTGATATAACCACAATTTCAGACCAGGGAGTACCTGCAGAGTCAGTGCTGGGATTTGGTGGAGCACTAGTGGCCAGATGGGATAGCTTTGTGTTCCAGTGGGTTCCAGAGCCTAGGCGTATCGACAAAAAATAGTGGCACAGCTTTCCAATTTGTGGATGGTTCAAGTTCACTTTATGGACATACTGATGGTATGGAAATATTCATACACATCTATCCTATCAAGTATATATAAAGTATAAATACATATGCAAGCATATATATACATACACGGATACATACACACAATATGTACAGATGGGTGAATTTAATATATGAAGTAAGACTTCTCCACCTGTGCTGAACATTTTTAACTTTTTAAAGCATGATGGCATTTGGCAACATATTTGGTCTCCCCAGTGACACTATATGAGTGGGTAGAACAGGAACTATTGTTCCCAATTGACAGATGAGGAAACTAAGGGCTGGAGAGTTGCCCAAGAACAGAAAGCTAGCAAAGGGTGGCATCTGGACAAAAAGCAAGATTTTTTTTTTTTGACTCCTTGTCCATTATCTCTCCTCTCTGACCCACAATCTCCTTCCTTCCTCTCTTCCGGCAGCCCTCCAAAGGTTGCTATTTGAACCCCGAAAGCATCCCTCCAAAGTGATCTGCTAGAAGAAAACTGCTGGCTACTTTGTAGCTCATGCATTCCAAAAGGGACAGAAAGAACTGCAAAATAAAAGTGTAGCTCCAACCTTTTGTTAAACCTTCAAAAATCTTCCATGGTCGCTAACTCTATAATTACATCCTAATCACAAACACTCTGAAGGAGAAGGTCAGTTCCATGCAGCAGTAGGCTAATTATGTGGTGGAATTTCTAAAAATTATCATCTTATAAATTGTGTTATTCCTCTGAAGGGGGAAGAAAATACACCACACACTCGACTATGTTTCAAACTGAATTAATTAGTAATTTGAAGCCTAATTATCAACTAATCTATTGGAACATGCAAGTCTTTTGTATTTGGATGGTATATGCAATTTGCATCCTATTAGCTGGCAGTTGTAAGGATTTGAGAGCTCATTAGGTCAGAAGAAGAAAAATGCAGATCAGAAGGATATAGCAACCCAAGGGGCTGAATTGGTGATGCTGTGACTAAGGGGGCACTGGCCAACAGATGGAGGCTGGCAATGTAATTACCTGGCGTCTTCCAGTGGCTCTAAGGCCACTGATGTGTAATTTCTATTTCACCCCAGAGAGCTAATTATGTATGTCCCCACCCTTGTTCTGTGTATTCTCAAGCAGCACGGTGCCCACTCACTGGCCAACAGATGGAGGCTGGCAATGTAATTACCTGGCGTCTTCCAGTGGCTCTAAGGCCACTGATGTGTAATTTCTATTTCACCCAAGAGAGCTAATTATGTATGTCCCCACCCTTGTTCTGTGTATTCTCAAGCAGCACGGTGCCCACATGGTCTTACTGACAGATGTCCTGGAGTAGTGGAAAAGGCACTGGATGCTGCCCGCTACCTTTGGTGCTAGGCCTAGCTCCATCGCTGACTCGCTGTGTAACCCAGACCAAGTCACAGCCCCTTGCTGGTTCTGTTTCCCTACAAACAAATGAGATTTAGATGGAGCTGACTTCCCCAAATCCCTTCTAGCACTGAGGACCTGGGATGTGAGAGATGGAAATGGTCTTTTGGGGGTGAGACTCTTGGTTCCCCAAAAGAGTCTGGACAGCCACCACTCATTTAAAATGCAAATACCTATGAGAAAAGTAACATATTTAACCATTAACAGCTGGGTCTAAATTAACCTATCTCAATAAACCTTTCTTATCTCCAGTCCTGACTCTGAAATACTGGGACAGTCAAGACAGAAGTTTTGAAGGGGAGAGAAGGGTAAAGCAAGGCTCTATCTAAGACTGGAGATCAGGTCAGAAAGAAGGACAGAATATAAAGGATGCTTTGGTCCCATTTTTAGATCCATGACCCCAGATCTTGTGCTTTAGTTCTATGAATAACCTTTTTGATATTTTGTTCAATTAATAACTAATATTCCTCAAAAAAATAATCAACACAAAATAACATGGCTAAAACTGAACATGGTTATATGTTCAGTTTGGTGAGGTTGAAATCGAAAATTTCTTACAGATAAAAAGCTAAAAGTCACATCTTAATGGAAACATGGAAAACTGCAAAAACAGGCTAGGATAATAAACAAACTTTGTAGAAAAAGCTACCATTAAGAGAAACTGATAATTGTTCAAACTATCACATGGGAAAATCTGTTATTGATTAAAATATGTTGGGAGATGCAGCCACTTTGGAAAAAAATTATAGAGTTCCTCAAAACACTGAACATAGAGTTACCACATAACCCAGCAATTCCACTCCCAAAGTATATATTGAAGAGACAAACTTGTACATCAATGTTCATAGCCGCATTATTCGTAATAGCCAAAAAGTGAAAACAACCTAAATGTCAATCTAACACTGTTGAATGAATAAACAAAATGTGATATCCACCCATAATGGAATATTATTTGGCAATTAAGAGGAACGAAGTACTGATACATGCTACAACATGGATGAACCTTGAAAATACTATGCTAAGTGAAAGAAGCTAGTCACAAAGGACCATATATTGCATAATTCCATTTAAATTAAATTTCCAGAATAGGCAAATACATCAAAATAGAAAGTAGATTAGTAGTAGCCCAGGGCTGGGGAAGCTTGAAGGGTGGTGGGGAGTGACTGCTAATGGGTAAAAGACTTCTTTTTGGGGGTAAAACAACGTTTTATTTTCTTTCTTTCTTTCTTTACTATTTTAATTTATCAATATACAATGTGGTTGATTTTCATGTCCCTTTACCAATTTCTCTTTCCCCCCCTTAAAACAAAGTTTTAAAATAAGATTGTGATGATAGTTTCATAACCCTGTGAATATATTATAAACAATTAAATCGTACATTTTAAATGGGTGAATTGTATGTGATTACATCTCAATAAAGCCTTTAAAAATGGGACTAAACACAAAAGAAAATTACATTTGGCCTTAGAAAAAACCAGCTGGAAGAATTAAACTTCATGATAAGAAAAGTAGATGTGTAAAACATGACCCAGATAAAACAAACTTGACAGAAATAATGGTCACAAAAGAAATCTCATAATGGCACATGCTACTAGGTAAAATTTAATATGCACAAAGAATGATTTGATGAGTCAAGTCTTCCTTGTAACATGGAAAATAATTGCACCTGATATCAAGAACTGCAGTACATTAAAATGAAGACAAATTAAACAAACAAACAAAAAAAGAAGACAGGCTTGTGTATACCATGTAGAAAAGTGAATCAAAACTAAATTGACATAATATTTTTCATGCTGGAAAATTTTTTCTGGTTAAGGATTTGTCAATACTAGTGTAATTATGATTTGAGTATTTTTATTTATAAACAGTAAAAGTATCATTGGGGTCCAAATAGGGGCCAAAAACAGTGGGATCAAGACATCTTGTATCCATTCAAAGATGTGGTGATTTTGTCCTTATTGCCAACGAGCAGAGCCAATTAAAGCTGGAATTGTGATGACTGAGCAAACCTTGCCCACAAGCACGCTCGCTTCCAAAGAAGGTTAAAAGTTTACAAACAGTGTGCAGTGATTTGACAAGTGGGACGTGGAGGAAAAATGGTAAATCTAGTATTGCCAAGTCTTAGTATTGAAGCTCTGCACTGCCCCTGACACCCGTGCAATTCGCATCAAGTAGAGACCGCAGAAGCAAGTTAGGGCCCAAACATGGAAAGGCCCAGAGTGGAGAGCCTGCAGAGCTGTACTCACCAGATTTGCAAGGATGTAGTGGTAGCCAATGCCATTCTTCTCCAGCTTTATGATCTACAAAACATGATGGGAGGGGACTCATCAATCATACTAACAATTGAAGCTACAACAATAGTAATAATAGCAACTGACATTGAGTGCTTACAACATGCCCTGCCCTATCTGAAGTACTCAACTACAATATCCCAACCATCCAATGATAGTGATGTTGTTGGTATCCTTATTTTGCAAATGAGGAATAGGCATAGAGTGGTTAAATAATTCTGTAAGGCTACCCAGCTATTAAGTGGCAGATGCAGGATTTGAAATCAGTTTTGCCTGATTCCAAAGGTAGAGTGGTATTATCATAACCCCAAGGACCCAGCCAAAATACTGCACTCCTTCCATAAAGCCTTCCTCGTACACAGACATTCTTCCGTAGGTGGGACTCTTTTGTTGCATGGAATCTTCTGTCACTGTCATGACAATATCAGTGCTTGGATGGACAGATGAGTGGATGGTCAGATGGGCAGGTGGATGATTCCACTCCAGTTCTCAATCTTCAGCTCCTTGCATGAACCGTATGAAGATGCTATTCTTTCTTTTCCTAAATTTTGTGCCTTCCTCCCTAAGCCAGTTGGGTACTCAGACATTAATGGATCATTCAACTTGGAAGCTGGAAGGCAATGTCAGGATCATCTAGTCCAACCCTTCAATGTACAGATGGGAAGCTGAGGCCCAAAGAGAGGAAGTGATTTGCCCAGATCCCATAGTAGTCTGGTAGCAATGTTAGGACCTGACTATTGTGGGCTTTTCCATCTGATGCCTGATTATGGTTAATTACTAAAAGACAGGGTCCCCAAACACCCTTCCAATCTGAATGCAGACTGTCCCTAATGATTGGAGGCAGGAAAGATATTTGTTGCAACAACTATCCAGGGATTTGCTTGGGCAATCAGACATACCATCTAGTCAGGAACAGTTAAGACCGCAGACCTTTCTAGCCCTAGCTCAGCCTGCAAATTAACTTGATCTATTTCCTTATTGTTATTTTAATCATCAAATTGGGATTAGTATACCCTGCTCGATGCCTCTTTCCATGCACTCTTGCAAGGAGGCATAAAACATATGAGAAGCACTTGGGCTTTTTTTCTAATTGAATAAATTTTCAAGGTTATTAAAATCCATATTCAGACATATACTTAATTGGATGTATGTGCACAATGGCTCACTTTTTTTTTTAATGTGGGAAATAATTAAATGCACGTGCATACAATGAATGTTCTGAAACAGTGATTGTGAAATTCCAGACCATGGAGCTCAAATACTATTGGGATGATAGTTTTATTAATAATTCATTACTTTTTCATCATCTTGTCAAACGGTTTGCTGCCCTTTCAACAATGAGATACCTTTATCAAAAACCTATTTAGCTTCTAATATACACAAAACAGCAAATAAAAGATATTTCAAAGCCCATCACATTCAGACAATGGAGAAGTATAGTCCCTGCAGGATGAAAGTAGGGATTGAAACATAGGAAACAGCCAATAACTGATGTCTTCTGACCAGTAAAACTTAGCAATTTCATATGGTTCAACCTATTATTAACCTTCCCAGCCATCTATTCACCTACCTATCCATTGACCTACTTTCTCTCCTTTACTATATTTCACAAATATTTATTAAGTGCTTACGACGTATGAAGCACTGTGCTAGCAACATAGTATAAAGTGAAACAAGCATAGTTTTGCTTCCCTGGATGTTACACTTTACTGGGAGGAGATCCATAATAAATAGGTAAACATATAAATGCCTGTGCTATGTGCTCAGGACACAGTATTGAACAAGTGAGGCAAACTCCCCAGGCTCTCACTGAGCTGAGCTTTCAGTAGGGAGCCAGATGGTAAATACATGAACAGATAAACGAACAAGGTTTCAGCAGGTGAGAAGCACCACGAAGTCAATAAAAAGGGCAATGTGATGGATAGCCCCGAGATGTCCTGGTCTACTCTCACTTCTAACTTTTTCTGTACTTAAAGACTGTGTTATATTATTTGTTGTTTTATATATTGATAGAACATTATATTCTAATAACCCTGTTCTCAGCTCACAAATCTGCAGTGACTCCACATTGCTTACAGAATAAATCCCAAACTGTTTAGAATGGTTTCCAAGGATATTCACGATCGTGTGTTCAACTCTCTGCCATCATCTCCAATGGATGCTAAGCCATACCGCGAACCTCAGTTCTCACATCCCCTCTGAGCCTCCAACATGCCCTTCCCTCCAGATTAAAGGCTCTTGTGGAGACAATGGCTACCTGTAGAGATACAGACCCATCTCACATTTGGGATCTTTCTTAGGGCCTTCATTAATTCTTTATTCTTTCAATTCACTCAAAAATATGTATTGACTACTTACTAGATGCCAAGCACTGTTCAAGGCACTGTGGATACATCAGGGAAGAAAACAAAACAAAACTCCCTGGCCTCATAGAGCTTACATTCTAGTTGAGGAGGGGGGAGCTGGAGACAGAGATAGGCAATTAATTTCCTATTTGGAATCTGCAATCAATGTCTCTGTCTCCTTCCTTAGGTTAGGCAGAATGATTTTTAATAGACTGGAGAGACCCCAGTTACTGAGTGTTTGATAATGTAGGATGATGCCAAGAGGGTCAGATGGCAAGTCAGAGATGTAAGTTGTAGACTCATCATTTTCACTAACTAGTTGTCTGAGCCCAAGGCAAATTATTCAATCCATTTGACTATCGGTCATCCCATCTGTAAATGTGAGCATAAGCAATAAATCAAGTGGTCTGTAAGATCCTTTCAACTCTTTGGACTCATTTTTCAAAACACAAGAATGACACAATTAAAAACATGATATTAACATGCTACGATCTAAAATACCCACATGAACAAACCACTTCCTTATAAAATACTAGTTTATTCTTTGACAGAGGAGGTAGCTACAGAAGGCAGAGGCAGAAAAGTTGCATTTTTAGGAGGGGACTTTCTGCTTTTCTTATATGCTAGCTGTGAGATCTTAGGCAAGTATGATCCTTCTTTTTTTCATCTGTGAAATGCGATTTGATCGAAGCTGTTTTATAGAGTTGACGTGAGGATGACATGGGATTATGCACAGAAAGGGCTCGGCATAGTGTCTGGTATACCTTAAGCAGTCAAAAAATAGCAATGTCTGTTGTCTATACCACAGAACAATACAGGACAAGTCATCAGTCTATTAAGAGTACCTCACTATCATTCAGTGCTTTCTCCATTTCCTATCTCATCTCATCTTTTTATCAGTTTTGCAGGAGAGGAACTTTATTTCTATTTTACAGATGAATATACTTATGTCCAAGGAGGGGAGTAACGCAAGAAGCCAGTACTAGTTGGCACTATAAATAGCAAAAATAAGCAAATGTTTACATATGTCACTTACTGTGGGGTAAGCTTTGTTCTAAGTGCTTTACATGTACTGATTCTTTTAATTCTCACAAGAGCCCTCTCCAGGTGGCTATTATTATGATGATGATGATGATGCCCATTTTACAGATCAGGAACCTGAGATGGAGAAAGATTAAAAACCCAGTGCTGGCAGTTAGCTTAGTTGGTTAGAGTGTGGTGCTGATAACACCAAGGTCCAGGGTTCGATCTCTGTACTGGCCAGCCAAAACCAAACCAAAACAAAACAAAAAACAAGAAAACCTGGCCCAAGGTCACAAAGTTAGTAAATAAATACTAGAGCTGGGATTTGAACCTCATCCAGTCTGGTTCCACAGTCTCTGCTCGTAACCATTATCATATATTGCCTAACTGAAAAACTAGAATTCAAATCCCTGACTGCAGACCATAGAACTTCCACCTCAATGGAAACAATTTTTGTGTATTTCTTTTTCTAAGAGCAAAGGCCAAAACCACACTTTATAAAGTAGGACACATACAGTTAATACCTTAAAGAATCTATGACTTTCAAAATCTCTCCCCGTTCTGTTGCTAAGGCCTCTGAGTGATTGCTGAGCTGATGCTGAGATTCCCAATGGGGATCCCAGGGATCTTGAGGGCCATTAACAAGCTTTGTCATGTTGTCAACTACCTAAAAGTACCACCTTTTATTACATGGCAATGCTCAAAAGTGATTGCAAAATCTACTTGCTTGCTAGCTTAACTGAATACACAAACTTAGTTTAAAAAGACAAGAAATCTACACAAATGCCTGTTAATTCTGTGGTGGGCACATGCTTTAGTTCTCAAATGGGAGGAACCACAGTTTAGAGATCTTTGGCTAAAAACTGTTGAGGTTACAATGCCTGTTCTCAGGGTATACAATCAATTGATTTCTTAGAGACAGGAGCGTGTTCAAAGAAATAGTAGAAAGGGAGGTGGCTGCCACTTCCTTGACCTCTTAAAACAGGTCAGTGGGCCAAAAGGATGAGATGCCAAATGCTGGATCGGTGAGTGACAGAACCTTGAGCTGAACCTAGGAATCTGGCTTTACAGCCTGTGTTCCTAATGTGATAGCACTTCAAAAACTCTAAAATGCAATGCAATTTTCTTTTTAACAATAAAGGGAAACATTGGAGGTAAGTTTTTGGCCAACTGATCTGTGAACCATTTGAAGCCCTAGGTCAAGGCTCGCATTGCTTGTGCTATGTCATAAAATTGTAGAATTAAATTTTACAAATTACAGAATGTGAGATAGAAGGCATCTAGTCTCATACAGTCAAGAACCCTCCTTATAACCCTCTTTATCACACCCAAGGCAATCCAGCTTCTTCTGAGTCATCTCCCACTCCCACCCTGAGCCCTTGCTGCCTTCACTACCTGGCCCAGGATAGCATTAAGGCGTTCTGATTCACAATCCACCACCACCAGCCGCTCCTTTTTCTTTTCCAGGTCCTGAAAGAGCATCCGGTATCCCTCCTCTGTGGTTGTCAAAATGTTGACTGCTGTCACCTGCCAGTTCTTTTCGGCAGCTGTGTCCAGGACTTTCTGCAGGACGGACAAGCCTGAAGGTCGGATGAGTAGGATAGAGAAATGGCAGACCATCAGGATAGGCAGTCACTACCCCACTTCCACCAGCCACCCACCTCTCTGTCTACCCCCAACACCACCCCTCCACCAAGCTCAGCTCCAGCTTTCTCTGACTGCAAGTCTGAACTCTGTAAGAGCAGGTGGTAGGTCTCTTGTGTGTCTGTTTCCAGGACATAGTAGGAAGTAGAATTAGTGATTAAAAATATAATCTGAGGCTCAATTCCAATCTACTGGCTAAATGAGGCTCATTAGCATCTCCAAAGTTTAGTTTTTTCAAAGGTTAAAGTGGTGATGTAAATAATGCCCACCTCACAGTGTTATTATGAGGATTAAATGAGAATGTCTGAAACATGATAGAGTCTGATACCTGCAAGGTCTTTATAAAGGTTAGCTGTAATTATTGAGCATTCAGTAACTGCTTACTAAATGTGACAACCTGGCATTTAAAGAGACACCTAATAACTGTAGATCAAATTCATGAATGTTTGACATATCCTCAATACATAATACTTCATCTCTCACACAGTAGGTGTTCAATTAATGCGTTAAACTACTCTCTTTTGATTTACACCTAAATGAATGGAGGATTCCATTACACAATACTGTTTTGTTTCATCTTTGAGACTTACAAGGTATATTAGTTTCCTATTGCTGCTGTAACAAATTACTACAAATTAAGTGGCTTAAAACAACACAAATTTATTATCTTACACTTCTGGAAGTCAGATGTTTGAGATAGGTCTTCCTGGTCTAAAACTAAGGTGTTGAGAAGGTTGTGTTGCCTTCTGGAGGCTTTAGGGGAGAATCTTTTTCTTGCCTTTTCCAGCTTCTAGAGGCTGCCTGCAGTCCTTAGCTTACGGCCCCTTCAGTCTTCAAGGCCAGCAATGGTGATTAAGTCTTTCTCACATTGCATCACCCTGACACTGGCTCTTCCGCCTCTGACTGCCACACTTAAGAACACTTGTGCTAACATTGCACCCTCCTGAGTAATGCAGGATAATCTCCCTATTTTAAGGCCAGTTGATTAGCAACCTTAATTCCATCTGTAAACTTAATTCCTCTTTGCCATGTAACATATTTGCAGGTTCCAGGGATTAGAACATGAACATTTTGCGGGGAGAAGGTCATTCTGTCTGTCACAGATAATTATTTCACTCTCACATTATTAATCAATCTTTTGTACCTATATCATTTCTGATTCCCAGTAACACTGCTAATCCCTTCTATAGTGACCATTCATGAGTATCCGTCCTCAAGAATCACCTATAGATTGATTCTTCTATGCCTTCCTAGTTTTGTTTCTTTTTCAGTACAAGTTACTTGGTGTGTTTGAGCCTCAAATTTGCTACATATCTGGCACTGTTCTACCAGCTTTCCTCTCTTTAATTCACTTAATCTTGTGAGGTAGGCACTATTATTATCCTTTATTTACAGATGTGGAAATTGAGGCTCAGAGAGAGTTAGTCATTGGTCCAAGTTCACACAGCTGGCAAGCGGCAGTGCTCTAAGCTCTGAGTTTTGAGGTAGATGGAGCCCTTTTGAGAGTGTGGATACTTCTGCCAACCTGGGAGATGATACTCTGTAAGCTAAGTCATGTTTTTCTGGCTTTGCCACTTCCAGGCTACAAACTTCATTATGCTGCAAAGCTGTCCCGAAAAAGACCTTCTCCAGATGACCCCCACAATGGCTGCTGTCTGAGAAGGAAAATCATCAAAACAGGGAGAGGGAAGGGAAAATCAGGGAAAATACGGTGCTTCTAGTCTCTCCCTCTACTGGCTCCTTCCCATCTGAATAACACTCTATCTGAAAAGCCATTTCACAAGCCACCGCCTCCTCAGAAGTCTTCTAAGACTCCCTATAGGCAACCACGCCAATCCATATTCCTCTGTCTCAGCGTCCAGGCCTTTCATGACCTATTTACTTATTTACACCAATAATGACTAAGTTCTTACGGGACTATTTCATATACAAGGTGACGGTAGGACACTACAGGACAAATGCTATGGGAGTTAGAAATAAGAAGAGAGATCTCCTCCAGATGTCAGGGAATAGAGAAAGTGGGATTTGAGCAGGCTGCAAAAGAGGGGAAAAATTCACTTATGTAGCTCTGAGAAGGGACGTGCAATGCAGAAAATGGGAGTAGCATGAGTAAAGATACAGAGAAGAAAAAAGTGTAGAAAACATGTGAGATGATGTAAAATTCAAAGGAGACAGAATTAGAAAGCCCTGAGAGGGATGATGACGACAATGATGATGATGATGATGATGATAGCAGCTAACACACAGAGAGGATTCTGCGCATTTACATTGCAGGCACCGAACAAACACTTTCTAGTCATTATCTCATTCGATCTTCACAACACCTTTATAGAGAAGAAAAAAGTGTAGAAAACATGTGAGATGAGGTAAAATTCAAAGGAGACAGAATTAGAAAGCCCTGAGAGGGATGATGACGACAATGATGATGATGATGATTAACACACAGAGAGGATTCTGCGCATTTACGTTGCAGGCACCGAACAAACACTTTCTAGTCATTATCTCATTCGATCTTCACAACACCTTTATGAAGTAGAAACTGTTTATTTTCATTATACAGATGAGAAAATGAAGGCACAGAGAATTTTATCCCCATGATATAAATGGTGAAACTGAGGCACAGAGAACCTGGCCAAAGTCAAACAGCTGGAGAGGAGAAGACCTACGGTTCAGATCAAGGTCTGTCTGACCGGAGGCTGTGCTCCTAACAACCTGCCGTGAGCCATGAGCCATTCAGCTGAGGTCCTTAGGCTTTGAGTCTGGACTCAGGAGGCATGGAAGCTTGGTGAGCTACAGAGTGACATGGGGCACTAAGAGGATTACTCTCTCAAAGGGTGTGTTTCCACACTGTGAGTTAGAGATTAGCTGCCAAGAAAACAGTCCACAGAAATAAAGCATTTTAGATCATCCCCGCATGCTTTTCAGAGAGGCAGTGAGGCATGATTCTCCTTTCTGCTGTTAATTTTCTCTCCATCCCTCAACAGTGTCCCTCTTCTAACCGTTGGCTTACCCCGGTCGGCATCATAAATGTAGACAAATTTCTGCCACTTGTAATGGTCAATGATGCTGATGAGAGCATCCTGCAGTTCGGGGCGCAGCTGGAGGACAAACTGATTGGATGTGTCAACAGGAAAGCTCGGCGTAATGAAGCAGACGTGAAGGGCCCCACAGAAGGAGGTGAGCATGTTGACAGTTCTCCGTTCATAAAACCCAAAGATGGCATAGACTCCTTTGGAGAACTGGGAACAGACTAGAAAAGGAGAAGATAAGCATTAATGGATAGAAGATGCTGCCAACAAGCTGTCAGATGGCTCCAAAATGAATCTGTCCACTAGTCCATCCATCCAGCCCATCACCTATTCATCTGTCTATCATCTGGCCATCTACCCACTCAACCAACCAATCCATCCATCCATCCTTCAATCCACCAATCTATTCAGCTTTCCACGCATCCTACTCATCTTATTCATTTATCCATCCCACTTACACATTCATGTGTCCAATCCCACCATCCATCTGTCTAAGTCAAATATTTAGTAGGTGCCTATTACATGCCAGATATTGTCATGATTATTAATTATAACAATGTATACAAAAGCATTTTCATATATTGCTCACTTTGTCTCTAAAATGACCTTGTTAAGGTAAAAAAGAGATGACTGGGTCATTTTTTAAAGGAGAAAAAATCAAGGCTCAGAAAGTTAAGGAACATGTTCCAGGTACCACAGCTAGGACATATCTCAGTTGGGCAGATATCTTGACTCTTAATCCAGTGATCTTTCCATTACATTGTCCATCACTTTGAGGGAAAGCACAAAGAGATGTTACAGGAAGAAGGATGTCTGCAGCTATCACTGCTGATACACGTTTAAGAAAACAGGACTTGATTTTCCCAGCCTAGCCCTTAGCTCTCAGTGTACATTTCTCTGCTGATGTTCATTTTGTGTCCGTACATACTGTTAGTGGATTTTCAGGCCCCCCCCAGTGTATCAGCCACATTAATAGCTTAGCCAGGCCCCCCCAGTGTATCAGCCACATTAATAGCTTAGCTATGTGAACATCCCCATAGGAT